GCTCTCAGGACAGTGCCTTAGGTGAACAGAGGATGTAAAAATGACAAAGAAAAGCTTAAAATACCTTAAATTAGAGGAATACTTTACAGAGTTGTTTAGATATTATTGTAAGAATGGCAGCCAATCACTGAAGAGAGATTACACTAATAAATGGTGATTTAAAAAAAAACAGGCAAAAACCCCCCAAACCAAAGACCAGCCACAAGCAGGCAACTAATTATCCAATAGTTCATCCCATCCTTTCCTTGGCCCTTTTATGCAGTGGCTGGGGTGGGAGCAGGGCCTGCCTGACAGTTTCCAGTTATAAGATGACTCTGAGCGTACAAGCTAAAGAGGATGCCAAAGACTTGTGAGCTCTGTCTGCCTAAGCGTTAAAGACAACAAAACAAAACAGAAACAACCAGAAACAGAGAGACCTCAATACGAGAAAATAAGTCACCTTATCTAGTAGATAGACTAACTCCACAGGATTTTACTTTTCTACATACACATTTTTGGGCACAGTATTATATTGAGGTTTAACTTCTGTCTCTTGGGTTATTGTGTCTTATTTTCTTGTGAAAATAAAGGTTATTACTCTAGGGATGTTTTGTTCAGGAAACAAATTTAAAGGAAATTCAGTGTTTGCCTGAAAATTGGGAGGCTCTGAAAACAAGGATTCCAGTGGTGAGGTTAAGTCCTTTTACCACAATAGGATTTCAAAGGACTCTTTACCTACTTTGTTCAGTGCAGTATTGAAAATCCACCTATTGGGAACACATTTATTATTAAAAGGTGTAACTTCTTCCTGGTGGTGGCAGTGTCCTATTCTTTATTAACATTATAACTAGTATTACTTATCAAATTAGAATCTTTTATATATGAAAACATCTTTAGCAGTCAAAGCAATAACATTTTAAAACCCAAATCTTAAGTTGGCATTTACTATAATAGTACCTTGCCAAAAACAGCTTTCTTTTTCAAATGGCTCAGAAAAGTTGAATTAAGAATTAAAAAATATATTAACTGCAATTCACCTATAACTCCCCATAAGTAATTTCAGCAGGAAAATTTCATAAAGCTGAGCTGAAGCAACAAATAAACAGAAAAGTCATAGTTGTCCAAGGTAGAACGGTATGAAGAAGGAACAGCAATACAAGTACAGCGATAAGACCAGCAAACTGCTTATGTGTCCACTCCCTAATGTCGGAAGGGAAATTTGCTTTAGTTTAGTTGCTAAAAATTTTAAGGACAGGCTGATTTTTCCGGGAACAGATCATCTTGCAACACTATAACCATGTAACACCAACTAAAAAATAAACACAATCAGGCTCTTTCAGGGTATAAATCTAAGTAAAGGCTGCAGTTAATTTCCAGGCAGATTATTAATTTCTCTTAAAACGTAACCAGGTCTTTCTTTTTAATAAAATATAGGTCATTACAGGTACTTTTTTACAGGTAGATTTTACATATGAAACCTTTACTCAATTTTTTAAAATGAGCAGAAAGAAAGTGGAAAAAAGATGGTAAGATCCCTATCTATCACCACTTGGATTTAATAGCAATCAAATACTTTTTAGTGAAAAGAATCTGTGTTTCTCCAAATCTGAATATAATCTCACATGCAGTGACTATAGTTTATTTCTCACCAGTCACATGCTCATGAATTTTTTTACCCAGTCCCACAGCGTGACCATAGTGATACAGATTGTCCTTCAGACACAAGTGAAAAGCCAAAACACACAAGATGCTACAATGACAAGATAATATCAAAAAACAGGGGGACTGCTTACACACAATATTGTAAAAGATGACATTCACTGGTTTAGAGAAACTAATGAATTTTCATTACTTTTACATTTTATAAGGCCAGCTACCTTTAACAGTTAACTTAGATAAATCTACTTAACAGTACAATCAACTCACAAATACTAAAAGGTTTCACAATCAAAATGGCTATATCCCCCCAAACCAAAACAGAGTAAAGCACAAGTCTTTGGCTCTCCTTTAAAGAAAACAGCAGGTTACCATTCTTAACCAGACCTTTGTTTGCCTACCAGTAGGGCAAATACCACATTTGTGCATCACTGAGTAATAACACCATTAGAAAA